TACTACTAGTAAGGCACTTGTTACTAGAAGCGATGCACTTGTTACTAGTAGAAACAATAAGATGATTTGCTGATTCAGCGCACAAAGAAGTTTCAGTTTCAAACCAGTTACTAGAAGCGTGCTACTTAATAGCTACTATAGCTACCTCTTCCTCTATCCGCGGCCCACCCCCTTTAAAAATGAAACACAAAACACTATATAATATATTACTTTGATAGGGAGGAGGAGGAGTGGGTAGGACACAAAGACTGCTAGGGAGCTGGTGGCGAGGAAGCCACTGTGTGCGACGTTGAGAAGGCCCGAGGTGTTCAGAAACTTTCAAAAAACAAAACCCGTCGCCGTTGCATGAACAAAAATGGTTCAAAGTTAGAAGCCATGCAAGAATGTCCCGTAAGACCAACAAAACAAACTTGAAAAGGTTCCTGTTGAAGTTCGTCAAGAACGTAAATCAAATCTATGACGCAAGAAAGAACAACAAAAGGGGGCTGTGCTCAAACATAGTTGGCTGTCCCTACTGCAGTGCCCTCTGGATCAATTGAGATCAACCTTTTCGGGCTTCAGAGAAAGCAACGCAGCATCAGTGTGCACGGCATGCAAGAAGTGAGCATGTTAGACACTGCAGGGAGTGAAACATGAAAGTTTGCAGTGCAAAACGTGTTGATCCCTGCTTCCAGTCGTGGGATTACAAGTCTCCATTTGGACAAATGCGACCTGTTCTTCCAGAGCTGGCTACGGTGATTCAAACAGCCGGCAATCTGGATACCTGAGATCAAATCGCCATCTAGATCTGGTCATATGCAAACATGGACCAATCGATTGTGCTTCTTCGGTGTTTGGACGTGGACAACTTCTGGTCTAAAACCGATTAAGAACCACCGTTGACATGGATGGACTACGAGCTTGAGCTTGGGTCAACAATTCCATGAATGCGGCCACCGTTAAGCCGAACAAGCCAAGAAGAAAACAGGTTTCGGAAGAAACGCGACGTGAACACAGATACACTTCAAAACAAAAGAATATGTCAAAACGGACGCCATCGTTATTAAAGCCGTTAGTAGGTTGGAGGCCACCGCTATTAGGTTGGAGGCCATCGCTAATTAGTAGGTTGGAGACCATCGCTTCTAGGTTGGAGGCCATTGCTTCTGTCAGTGAAGAGGGGCCCAGCTTCCAACGATCCTCAAAGTGCAGGTGCATGAGCGTCCTGCCAGCTCCTCTCTAAATCGCCACTCTCCAGTCTTGCTTTTGAATATCTCATAGCTCTGACCCAAGTTCATTCCATAGTACCACCTCGAGCTTCACGGCCGCTATTCTGACGATGAAACGTAGCAAATGCACAAGAAAGTCCATATGGCAATCTGTTATCTCTTTGATCCAGTTGCCTTTGTCAAACAAGACACCTCAAATGCCACCGAATGCAACCTCGACACCTTCCGGTCAAGCGGGCAAGCTGCACATCCTTCTGAGCCTTCGACGATGATGACAATGGCTGGACGCCCCGTGGTCGTTTTGGCACTAGTCTTTTTGGTATTTTTTATCGAATCCAAGTGCGTATTCACGACCACCTACGGCTTACGGGTTGGTGTCAAAGGTCATGCAATTAACCGCTAGTCTTGCCTCCTTCTGGAGCTCCTCCTCTTGTAGCACTTCCTCCAAAGATGGCAAGGCTGCAGGTTCCAAGAGAACAGCTCCAACGTAGAGGAGGCCTCTCCACTTGGAACCAATATTAAACAATTCTTACATCGTAGCCAAGAAAAACTGGGCTAAATAAACAAACACAAATTCTTTGGGCTGCATGGGCTACACCGGCGCTGCAACGCGGCTGCACCTGCTCCAACACTCAGGAGCAGAAGAACCAGAAGAACGGAAGAGGTATCAGATTCTTCCGCGCGAACCACTGACGGGACCAGCTTGGGTTGAAGGATTAGCCAAAACCTCAGAGATGTTAAAAACACTGCTAGAAGACACGTGGGACCAACAAAGAAAACAGTCAAAGTGCATCTTTTTGCTCTTTCAACTTTGGAACCCATCTTGCAAGCCGCCAAACAGGAGAAGGAAGGCAAAGAAGATCACACCTTTCCTGCATGATGTGAGCTCCCTATCGGAGTGAGACAGCCAAATCGGTATATGTAGACTATGCAGCCTATTAGGTACGAAAGAATGGAACATAAAAGGCAAATAACAGGTGCATCGCTAGTAGTAACAGGTGCCTTACTAGTAGTAACAAGAAGCTATTAGAAACAAGTGCCTTACTAGTAGTAACAAGAAGCTATTAGTAACAATAAGAATTGAATTAGAATTCTAAGTAATAGCTTCTTGTTACTACTAGTAAGGCACCTGTTACTACTAGCGTGGCACTTGTTGCTACTAGCTTCTTGTTACTAATAGACAGGCATTTTCTCCATCGTCTTTCGGACCTAAAAGGCGAAAGAGTATCTGCTTCACGAGCCAGCTTTTCTCGCTCAGCCTCCGGTTAGAGCAACAAAAAGCAAATTGATTGGTATCCACATAGTGTCCATGCAAAAAGCTGCATAGTAGTGAAACTAGTGACGCATATTTGCCCACTGATTTGTCGTGGTAGATTTAACGATGCGAAGAAAAGCGGAGGAAGAAAAGACGTGAATGGAATGATCTCATATGCATGAACAGAACTTGCCGTCGGACGCTTAAGGACGCCTAAAAGCGGTCGGCCATCGGCTGTGGTTTCCTGTATCCGTCCGTGACTAGTTTGCTTAGTAACAAGACGCTACTAGGAACAAGTGCCTTACTACTAGGAGCAAGAAGCTAGTAGTAACAGGTGCCACGCTAGTAGTAACAGGTGCCTTACTAGTAGTAACAAGAAGCTAGTAGAAACAAGTAGACTATGATTGTGTTCCTTTTTTGCTTTCTCTACAACTTGTACCATCTTTGGTGACGGGTCCCGAATGTCTTGTCACAACTCGCTCCAAGAACTGGAAGGAGATGTGATGCAGGCAGGCCGGAAACAACGAAATAAATGATTCGACTGTTATGGAGTCAGAGTAGAAATGAACAAAGAGAAGAACCAGAGTAGAAGAAACTTCGAAGAGTAGACCAGTGATTGTACCGCCCACGACAAGCAAGACCCGCAAGACCTCCAAAAGCAACTGGGCAAATTGATATGTTGCGCTTTCACTTTTGGATTGATGCGGTATTGATCTTTCAACAGGTAGCCTGCTGACTTCCCAAACTCTGGGTCAATGCTTGCCCAAAGGGGTGCTTTCGTTTTCAGAGACACTCAGACTTTATGTGCCGAAGAGCATTCTAAACATCAAGGTTGATGCCCAAGGGAATGTCCACGTGGCTTGTCTCATGGTAGCGTTTGCTCTGCGCGATGAGGCAAACTTCTTGATCGGCTTAGACTATGGCATATGGTCTTGTCGAGGTCATAGCCAGTCCAAGGATAGAGCTATCGTGAGCTATGAAGTTTCAGTTCTTGAAGAGCATAAAGAGTGGCGAGAAGGATACTTACGCCGTGAGCATGATGAGCAAGTCTGGCCGCATTGGCATCGTCTGATGACCGCGGCCGTGGGAGATATGGCTAAGGCGTCCAAATCGTCAGAACAAGAAGCACAGCAGTGTCGGAAGTGATGCCTAAAACGCGATGCACATGATTTGACTTGCTGTTTTGGAGTATGCATCACGTTCAGGTGCTCCTGAAAAGGGAATCTGCGCACATTGTTGGAACTGTTTGGTGCACTTGATGTGCAGCAAACATTTTTGTTTTTGTGCTCGGGATTGATGTGATGTTCCACTTCACAAAGGCCAATTTGAAACATGCCGTTTCGGCTGGGATCGAAAGTAACAAAAGAGAGTACAGTTAAAGTGATTTCAGTGATTTTCGATAACTTTTGATGAGATGTGGTGAGATCTTGACACATCCAAGAACATGTGAACACATCCATACCATTGAAAACCGAACATGGCGGAACACGGAACCCGGGAGCAGCTGAAGTCACGTACCTCATGACAGCTGGGGCAATTGTGGCTGAAATTGTGGCGTGCTTTTTTTCAAAGCCTGCAGTTTTTCGAACTTTCCCCAACGTCACGAATTTCCTAAAGCCTCTAAGGAAGAGATTTGACCGCATGGCATTGACGAGTAGAGACATAGCGACCTTGGACACCACTCTTGTGTTGAAGACAGTATTGAAGCACGCGCTGACCTTGTCCAACGACTGTCACAAGCATTCCGCTTGAAGCGGGGCGGACGTGGCAGTTTGGAGTGATATCAGCAAGAACACCGTATGATCTCAGCCCACCTTCTTGTAGGGGTTTCGCATCGTGCCTGCTGCATTATCTGCATTTTAGGGGTGTCATTGCTCCTCCTCAAAAGCCTCGAACACAATACGATGCCCAGTTGTCCCTGTGCAACAAAGTCCTGGGATCCAATGAAACTCGGGGGCCGGAAGATGTGTGGAAGCTACTAGTAACAAGTGCCACGCTACTAGAAACAAGTGCCACGCTACTAGAAACAAGTCACTCTTAGGTTGGAGGCCATCACTAGTAGGTTGGAGGCCATTGCTAGTAGGTTGGAGGCCATTGCTAGTAGATTGGAGGCCCATCGCTAGTAGGGTGGAGGCCATCGCTCTTAGGTTGGAGGCTTTGCTATTAGGTTGCCCCAAGTATGCGACGGCGACGCGCTGGCAGTTGTTATGGGAAAGCAAAGAAACCAACTGAAACCTTCCAAAACCAACATCTTAAAGGCAATGCAGTTACTGCCGACCTTCTTGTATTCACCAGCCAAGTTCTGTCTTTTTTTCCAGGGTCAGCATGATTGTGAATACTGGCATCAAGTCAATTTCCTTGTTGATCCGTGACTACAACTTTGTGGATATGAGCTCCAACTATGCTTGAACACCTTCTTTGTTTGCAATTTGTCATTCGCATGTGCTAGCTGCGGGTGCACAGAAGAGAAAATGGGTGGGTTAGCTGAGTGGATGAGGTGGACGAGGACTAGTTTTCTCAAATGAACAGGCACTTGTTCCTAGTAGCGAACATTGTTTCTAATAGCTTCTTGTTACTACTAGTAAGGCACTTGCTCCTAGTAGCGATGCACTTGTTCCTAGTAGCGAACCGCAATCTGAAATCAAACTCTGCCGCAAGGACTCGGGTGACTCACGCTACCGCTGACTCCACTCAAAACTCTAAATCTCCGGCCCGATCGCTGGTTGTCACGTACTTTGAGTGTCGGACATGCGATATTTGCTTTGAAAAGGCCGGCGCTTGTTCTTCTTCCTCCCAGCCTGTGGCAGCACACTTTCTAGACTTCCTGAGCCCATCCGTAGTGCAGCTTGATCGTTGGCTATTTGTTCAGCCTCGCAAGCAGAAAAAAACCGCGGAAAAGAACCACGGGCGGCCGTTTTTTCCGACCCTGGCGCCGCGACGCCCGACCTAGTTCTTGTCCTGTGCTAATTAAGCCTACCAGAATGCCTTGGGCAAACCCAACTTCTGTACCATTCTCGTCATTTGTGGACATCTGAAGTCGAAAAATCTGGTGAATGTGCGTTCTTGTTTTCTCAATGCTCCATTCTTGGATGGCTTACCACCTCGTCATCATCCCCGCCTGTTCCCGCAAAGTCTTGCTGCACAGCACCGTCCTTTTTGGCGGTGTGCACATCTTCCGTGCAGCCTGCGACCAGGACAAAGCGAAGCAAAGAAGGCAATAAACATACAAAACACCAAGTCAAGGAGCAAATCCGAGGTCTTCGGTTAGTCCAGCACATAACGTGCCGCACTGATGTCACACTGTGTGTGGGCATTATTTCAACACTGTGATTGAGACACTGAACGCACCGCCCTTGTACCGGTGGCACGTTTGGTGCTCAAACATCTGCTGCACTTCCATCTGCTCGAGTTCCGACCGCTGCGACTGTACCTTATCCCGTCTCTTGGGTCACTGCCGTGTCAGCCTGCGACGTGACACCAGCAATGACCAAGCTCCGGCACGGACATCGCATGTGCCCATCCTTAGCGATGCACTTGTTCCTAGTAGCTTCTTGTTACTACTAGTAAGGCACTTGTTACTACTTGCGTGGCACTTGTTACTACTAGCTCCTTAGCCGTCAAACCTTTCACAAGTTGAGGGGAGCAAAGCAGGTTACAACTCGTGCGACCAAGTTGCATGTCTGTGGCTTGGCGCGTACCCGCCACGCGGATGGGGTCCAAAGGACACGAGCATGCCCCAAAGTTTCGTTCCCCTCAACGTGTCTGGGGTAGCTGTAGTTGCATGAGAGGTTGATGGTAGATGGTCAAACATTGAACTGCATCCAAAACCTGCAGGATCTGTGAAACATCGTAGAGGGAATTGTTGTTTTTAAGTCCGTTCCCTGCGCATGGGCTCATTTTGTCTCATGTCTTTGCATATTTTTGCTACTGACCTTGTGGCTTATCTCCTTTTCAACCCTGGCACATCTGCAGCCACCGACTTGAGACCATGGCTGACATCAAATTCTATTCTGGGCCAGCGGTTGACTGGAGCAGCAGCAGAACACAAAAGTGCTGAATGGAAAGCAGAACATGACAAAGCAAAGATTGTGCTTCAATTGCTTCCAGCCATTTCCTACAAACGCAATTGCGTCTGACTTCCAACTACCTTTCGGGTTCGGTTGTGAATAGAACTGTTTGCTGGCCTTCGCGTCCGTTGTGCATTCTGCAAACACGCTCTGGTTGTTCAACATTTTTCAACCGCCTCGTCGACTTCGAGGATCAACTTGATGCTTGTTGGGAAGCTCCACAGCTATTGAAACTCCGAGTGTCCACTTGTCAATGGGCTCTTTCTGAGCTTCAAATCATATCGTCCCACAGGGGTATGCTGTGTTTCTCACTGCCAAACATTTCACCACTCAAGCTTATGCTGGACTCAGGGCACGCACTCCATCTTCTGCGAGCCGTGAATGAAGACAGGTCCAGCCAATTCCGCATAGCCGCCTGTATCTTGTTGAGTTCTCTGCTACGGATATTCCTATAATGTTGAATGTTGATTCTTCAATAGTAATGTCTGCACACTTTTCGGGTTGACCCGAAAACATGTCACCTTTGAGCTTTCATTGAACAATTGATTCCCTTTTAGGTTCCTTTTTGTGACCTAAGTGTTGACCCCTTGTGGGTCCAGTCCGTTTACACTCCGCTTTCGAAAGGGACCACTCAGCCTACCAGTGTGATGCTGCCATACACGCTTTGGAAGAAGCTCGGAACGCAATCAAGTGGAATGCTCATCCGGGCGGTATCGAACTTATTGAATTTGCACATCGCCGAACTCACACGACCTCGACCTGGCCTGGAAAGCCGAAACGGGATGTTCTGCATCATCGGTGAGTTGCAGCATTAGCGTGTCTGACTTGTGCACTTGAAAGTTCACCGAATGTACCATTAAGTTCGAGGCCCTTGGTCGTAGCGAGAAAAGATCAGCGTTTTGGTGGCGCGGAGCTGCTTCAGCCTTTGGGTAGCTATGCAGCGGCAGCATTTTAGCTTTTATCCAGATGGCAGGACGGAAGGCAAAGGCGATGATGCGCATGATGACAGGGCCACAGAAGAGTTTAGAAGAGCTAGTTTAGAAGAGTTTTAGTACTTTTGAGAGTTCTGGCAATCATTTTGGGGATTCCAGCGAGGCTAGCAAGTCAGGAGCATCAATAGGAGCTGCGGGCCGGGGTGGCTTAGGTGGCAAATGGTGGACACCACAAATGTGGGTTTGGGCGGCACTCTGGATGAAGGGATCCGGCATTGTATCTCCGGCTGGATTGAGACCGGCGCATTTTGCGCGTGGTGGGCTAAGCAAGATGCTTCTTGGGCCGAGCAGCCGAAGAGCGAGAGAGTCAGTCCAGGACTTCGGGGGGAACCAAGAAACCCTACAGGCAAAGAGCACATGATGGCAATGCCACAATGAGAGTACCAAAGGCGAGTCAGGTTGTAATCCACCTCCATCGATGTCAGTTTTCGGGCCAAGTTGCTGGAGCGACTTAGTGGAGCCGCGTGGGAAGCATGTGAGACGGATCCGAGCACCTTGAGGTGCCCGACTGGTGAGAAGTTGTTGGACCATTTGTGGAAGGAGTTGGAGCCACTCGAGCACTTGCGCGTGTTCAACATCCTGTCAGAGTTTTTCCAAACCTTCAAGCGCGCAAAGGGGCAACAATTCACTGCTTATGACACGGCTTTCCGGTCCCAGATTCAACGGCTCGAGGAGTGCGGCACAGTTCTTGAAGGGACAGTTAAGGCCTATTTCTTCTTGGAAAAGGCCTTTACCGATCTAGTAGTAACAAGTGCCACGCTAGTAGTAACAGGTGCCTTACTAGTAGTAACAAAAAGCTATTAGAATTGGAATCGGAGAAGACCTGAAGCGACAAGTCGTTGCCAGTGGAGGTGCCTACCAGTATGAAAAGTTGAGAGAGGCATTGTGCGCAATTGTGCCGCAGGTGCATTCCGGTGCACACGGCAAAAGTGAAGAGCATGGAAGTGGGCGATGGAATGGGCATTTGGCAGGAGGTAGTAAGGCTAACGACCGTGTGCACGCAGTGGCCCAAGAGATGGATGGTGCTGATTTCTTGTCAAGAGTGTTGTTGTGGCGCTTCCGTGACATTTGTTTCCAAAAGTATTTGTTTTGTGTCTTTGTGACTCTGGGAATTTCTATGTTGTTTTTCCATCAAATTGTCTTGGCCCGAGAAAAAGACGTTTCTTTCAGATTGCCCAACTGCAAAATTGGAACCGTGCATGTTCTGCAGCTTGCCCACACCTACCTCCCCCAGTACCCAAACGTCACGTGACCCAAGTCGGGGGGGGTAGCCCCGGCTTCGCCGGACGCACGTCACGATCTATCTATCTAAATATATGGCAGTCCCGAGTGGGACTGTGTCTTCTGGATCAACTCTCCCACACACCCGGGTCGGACCGGCCGATTCCGGAAGGATCCGTCTCATCGCTTTGGGTCCCCTCCACCCGACCGAACCCCGAGTGCTCCGAGTCCTCCGAGATCTTCATGCCCAAGGTGCTGGCCATGTTCATCCAGGTTTCATATTCAGCGGGAACTTGGACTCCTCGCGGAGACGGACGCGGGTTGACGAAGCGCTTGACGAAGCGCGCGTCCGTGCAATCCGTGCGCCCTACAGTAGATCTGCGGGATTGAACCCACCATGGTGAGAGCATCGATGGTCCCCTGTGGCCAACACGTCCGTTCGCTTCCAAACGCTGCGAACAGACCCTGCGAACGACCTGAGTCAAAGAACCAGTTTTCGAAGCGTGTGGACGAAGGATTGAGGGTTGACGCCTGGTTCACCAAGCTTTTGATGCTTGAAGTTATTGTATTAATTTGCATGAAGCTAAGCGTTCTCCCCCTGGCACCAACAAACAAATCCTGTAATCAAACCATCAGGGTGCTCACGAATTCACTCCTGTCCTGCATCCTTAAGACGTCCACTGCCTTGCGAGATTGGAATCTAAGATGACGTTTCGTCAATTCCAAGCACCCTTGATTTAATGGTAAGCCCGAACATCATTTGTTCAGCAATTTTATAGATTTACACATTGTTATAACAAACCATGGTTCGAAGTAGAACAGCTCCACGGCGTTGTGTTCACCAAAGAATTCGAGGGTGGTGAAGATGATTGTGGGGACAAGTTTGTTGGGACCCTTCAAGACTTTTGAGGGGTTGGTTTCTGCTCAGAAGGCTTCCAACCACAATTGATTTAATATCCTCACCACAATTGTTCGCATTGTTGTTCCTATAAGGATTTTATGCTGACAACGCCAGCGCAACCAGCTTAAAGACGAACGGAAGGCGACTTCAAGGCCTCATGTCTTGGTGTAGCTGCTTGATACGAGACAGGCTTGCCAACGCAAGAAAAGGAACCGATTCCGGAGGTTTAGAGTCTCGGATGACTTCGATCAAGGTTTGCTGATGCTGCTGTGGAAGATTTATGTGCAAACAACGCAAATGAATGCAAGGAATCTTCATGTCAATCTGCTTGTTGGTTGAAATGCCATTAATGCCATTATGCTTGTTAGTGGATTGGAGAATGGTCGCCCACCCATTGGACTTGGTGTAAATTGGCGGATTTGGTGCACGTTCCGGTCACCGCAGCACTGCTATGCACTGCTTGCAAGGGAAGACGATTTTCGGGTTCGTAGCAGCCAACGGAAACGTAAATGTTCGATTTCTCGAAATGTGGAACCGTTTCGAAAGCCGGTGCCGGTGAGATGCTCGGCGGGACGAACACCTCCCAAGTCGCGAAACGCCCGCGCCTGACGTCCGAGGGCGACAGCAGGTCCCCGCTTGCGCCTGAGTCACCAGCGCCACCGGAGCTTTCGGTCGGGGCGAGGGCAAGATGTTTATGTGGGTAGGGCGCTACTGGGGAGAAGGTCAACTTGAATTCTATAGGGCTCCAACCACATCCTCAGGTGGATTGGACCCTCCTAACACCCACCCTAACCACCTGATCTCAGAGGTGGGACAGGAGCCCTGCAAATTATAGAGTGTCGACTCCTCCCTCCAAATTGTGCTTTTCCTTGGAACGCATTTGAGCTTGCATGGGCACAAGTGTAAGTCGACAAACTTGTGCAGCATTGCTCATGTCGGGACATGTAGCCGTTGTCGTCCTACCTTCCCGGATGGTTTTCGCCAGCCTCCTGCCTCGGACTCGGAGAAAAATCAATTGGTGAAAGAGGCTCGATGTTGACAATTGGATTGCTCAATGAGAAACAGAAAAGGTCTGAAGTACTTCTTCAGACCTGTGTTTGCCAAACCACCAACGTGAACCGTTTGGGGGACATCAAGGTGTGACGGTGAGTCAAAGGCTGACTCAACCAACTTCAGTCACTTTCTAAGAAGCTTGTGCTCCTGAGTCTCCTGAGATCGGATATTCTTGGAATTTAAGTTTGTTTCTAATAGCTTCTTGTTACTACTAGTAAGGCACCTGTTCCTAGTAGCGTGGCACTTGTTCCTAGTAGCTTCTTGTTTCTAATATGGAATTCAAGGAATGAATATCTTAAACTATTGTGTTGGCTCAACGCCACCTATCCCAATACCCACCGACCATCAAGGGAAACAACCTTCTAGAAGGTGGACTATAAGTTGTGCCAGACTGCGAAGTAGGTGCTTAAAGCAACGGCAGGAGCTTTGCGAATTGGCTTTTGAAAACAGGAGCTTGGTGGGTCTTCTTCTTCTGCCATTGACACGGGAAGTGTCTGCTTCTGGAAGATCCACAGGTCTCCGAC